GGCCGCCCTAATAGCCAATTGGAACGCTTAACTTTTTGCTACTTCTCACTCCCTCAAACAACCAGCATTCAAGGACGCATCTTCTATTCTCTCCATTCTTATCTAGCTAGATTGCTAATTAAAGCAGTTCCTCTGTTCTGTTTTAGGAACTGTTCTTCAGCATCTAAGCTCCCTGGACAAGAGGAAAAATAAAACAGGCCAAATTGTAATCTTTGCTAAGGCACTTTAACAGACCAAATGTGTGATAGTAAGCTGCAAAAATTGTGTGCCAGTTACTGCTAAAGATGGACCCACCTTCTAATCTAACTACATAGTGACAGAATGTGCCAGTAGCACCAGATGCTGAAAGGATTCAAATTTACAGGAACCTCCTTTCCAGCACAATTGGCCAAAGGCCATGGCCAATGCAGTCTATTACAGAAATTGAAAAGCCTGATATCTTCCTCTCAGCCTGCCCACATGGGCATCTCTTTGCTATTTCCTGTATTTGCATTTTAAAAATCAAAAAGTTAAAATATCCTGTTGTCTCTTGGTTGAGCTGGTCAATTTCAAGCCCTTACTTCATGCCAATTTCCCTTTGTTGGAGAGAAATCGATATCACAGATGGACATGTAATGTGCTCATTCTGAAGTCGCATGTTTTTAACTACTCTATGTACATGAGACTTGTCAATCTACAACTGAGATAGACCCAGCCACACATGGGCAACTCCAGGAGCCCCAGCTCTGTCACTGTGAGTAGCCGCTACAAACAGCTGCCTTTGTCGTTGTCCCTTCAGGTTTCCAACTGTCCTCCCAACTGCCACAGAATCTTTCATTTCCTGGCAACGTACTACACTCTAGTCAGAAGCCAGAGGGGCAGCAACAGACACACCACACTGCTGTATGCTGATGTATTACTGCTCAGCAGATTTATCACAGTCCCATGGCTTAAGGGCTTGGATTCAACTCCTACTGAAATCAATGCAAAGACTCCCACTGATTTCAATGGGAATTGGATCACTCTATATTCATCCAGACTGGCCTGGACTGGTGAGCACATCTCACTAATCATCTTTTCCTTCTTTGGTGTTATCAGGATGCATCTCCTCACCCCTATATCTCTTCTTCCTAAGGTATTAATGCTATCCCTTGCCTAGACGTACTTCTAACTCTATAATGTCCTTCCATTTCCCCCTGTTGAGATCCTTACATTTCTGTTTCTTCTCCTTTCCTAGGTTGTCTCTCATGTTCATCTCCTAAGAGTCACAGCACAGGATCTGGCCCATAGACTGTAAGGTGAAATAAACTGCACATAAAATAGAACATGCAGCTGAATACTTGATTACCTGACTCATTCGGACCAAACACAACTAGTGAATTTTACGACAAATATTTGTTAATGCTATGCACATTCTTTTAAGAATATTATTACTTTTTAATTATATTAGCTGAATCATCAAATAAATACTTACTTGTCGGCCTTGAATTATTGTATGCCTCTTTCTTCCTTGATAGTCAACAACTTCTATGTAGTCCAGATATATGTCTATCCAGTAAACATATTTATTGACCAGATCAACTGCAAGAGCGGTTGGCTGCTCAATTTTAGATTCTACTATTCTTGTTCTATTCATCCCATCCATGTCACATCTCTCAATTTTGGCAACATTCCCATAGTCGGTAAAGAAAAGTTTTCTGTTGAAAGAAAATAAAGTGTTGTGGATATGTTTTTGCTTTGTTATTTTTTAAGAGGGTGAGCTTGATGGGTAGGTCCCCAGTGGGGCATTCTGTAAAACAAGTTTTCATTCTAATTCATTTCAGTGGTTGCATCTGTTAGTAACCCATAACCATTACCATATAATATCAGTCATAAACAGAGAAATCTGCTAATGAATACTGTAAGGCATGAGGGAGCAGGTTAACTAAAGATGTGAAATATTCCAGCAAATGTGCAATTGCATTGGATTTTGTTCTGTTTTTGTTAGAGAATTTTTTTAATGTATTGAAAAATATGTGCCTTGAGGGAGCCAATAGTGCTGATTAGACATGAAATTCTTATGCAATTAAGTACATCAACCCAAAAATGTATGTGTCTTATGTGTTGTGTTTATCCTGCTTTTTAAATTGCTTCACTGTATTTTTTCTTTCTTCTATAAAGGCTATTAGAATTTCATTTATGTAGATGCTAAGGTTGTTACAAATAGTAGAGATCAGCAAAATTGTGAAATAATTAAGCAGCTAGAAGCAAATGTACTATGTATATTGACAGATATAATAAATGCAAAAGTAATCCAAAGTTGTAGATGCTCTCAGATATTCCAAAACATAACATTTCACAAAAGAAGGCAATTTACTCTATATTTCAGTTTTATCCATTTGGGGGAAAGAAAGACAATGACTGGCTACGAACCCTGAAGAACCTCTAGTGCATTTATTTTTCCAAAATGAAACATCCCGTGCAAGATTATCAGAAATCTATCAGAGACTTAAACATACCACAAAAGCTTCTAAGCCTGATTGTTTGATTACTATTCACTATGTTTAGTAAACACAAATCAATTTCAATTAACTTGACAATATTTTAACAAGATTACCTTCTCATGAGACTAAATTGCATTTGTAAATAGAAGACCATCTTGCCATGACTTTAACACTATCTCAAGAATAATTCAATTTCTAGTTACTGAATATTATTAATATTACCATGAGAATCAAAGATTTGATTTTCCAGATTTAGTAAATTATCTGTTAGTTATCAGCATTAATGGAACAGTATCTAAAGCCGGGGTACCTTTTAGTTGAATAATAATTATCTAAAAATTAATTGTTCTAGTAATTGTAGCTTCCACTGAGCATTTAATATTGCAGTATGTAGTACCTTGGAAAGAAAGTGGAGTTGCAAAGAAGCCAAATGAAAATTATGTTACGTTATTAATACCTTACAACAAATGAGAATATATTTTAAGTGTAGGTCAAAAGGGTCTCGCATCCAAGCAGACTTTTAAAAATAAAAAATACATTACAATAATGTTTTAAATACATATAGTTTAGAGGAAGCTATTTCTGTTGTGTTAAAATGAACTGATCATATTAAGCTTATTCTTTAAAAAACACAAACTCACCATTCAGTTCAGTGTAAAAAAATGGTGGCATAATATAGTCCAGAATCACTAATTATATTGTGCATTGGTACAAATGACATGAGAAGCATATTAAACTGAGATAGTTAAAATTAGCAAAGAAATACAATTAATTTAAAATTATAGTCACAAAAACAGTATCTTAAAATAATGTTTATTAGCTATCATAAATTTTAAACCCTCTCACCTATTGCATTTAAATAAGACTGGAAAAAACCCACTAAATGTACTTTAGGAAACAATCCTGCATTTACAGATATATGGTTTGGATGAGCTAACAGGTCCTTTCCATTTCAGACTTGATGATTAATATCAACGCTTACCTCAAGATCTCAGAATCAAACTGGATTCTTTCTGATTTTTTTTTTACAGTAGCACAAGTAACAAAGATTACAGAATCAGAATTTAACTGACCACATTATTGATAGTAAACTCTTTGGGGCAGGGATCAACTTTTTTATGTGTGTTTGTATAGTGCCTAGCACAATGGAAAATGCACAACCATATTCAGCACAGGGATAAATTAAGACACCTGAGATCTCTGACACTATCAGGCCCACACAGTAAAGGTTCTCACAACCAGTGCTGCGGCCTCCAAAAACATTGTCCTGCCAAACATCATCATTCCTGGACTGCAGCTTCCTTTTAGAGCCTGAAAGACTCCTCCCCACAGTTCAGCCCCCAAAGATTATATTCTTCCATCACAATTCTAATTTTTCCTTCAGGCTTTCTTCCTTCCCCAGCTCCTACCCTTCTCTGAGTTATCACTCACTGTTTCAGCTCTTTTCAGGTTTTCAAAAGCAACACTCCACCAGTTTACACTTTGTTTGCAAGTTCTCTCTGCAACGATCAGAGATGGAAACAAATGACACCTGGGGTTGTGGAGCATAACTGTGTGGCAATACAGTGAATTACACAGCAGTGGAATCGTAGAATATCGAGGAGCCTGTACCTTCCTAGCTGCCATTCCCCACATCTTCTCTCTCTCTCTCTTCCATGTCTCCTTTCATCATATGTAGAGCCCTGCAAATCTGCGGATATCAATTTTATATCTGCATCTGCGGATGCGGATATCCATGGACCATGTTTGTGGATCGCATGCAGATACAAATTTTGTATCCGCACAGAGCTCTAATCATAAGGACAGGAAGCACTAGAGAAGGGAAAAATCTCGCAAATGCACTGGTGTTTCAAGTGCAATGCCTACTTCTCACATGACAATATAATGTGAAGAAGAGGTATTTCTACAGCACAGAGCATAATAGAAACGTGATCTTAACTGTGGCACTATAATAATAGAAATATGTATTAATAATAACAATAATAGGCTTTTTGCCTGTTTCCCTATGAAGAGTTGTGGATTTGGTGCCAGTTAGAAGGCAGCAATTAATTGGGCTGTAGTCGGTGCCTCCTTCTCAGGAGAGGGCAATACAGAGGCTCCCTCGAAGAACAAGGCTAAGATCCAAAGGTGCATGGAACCTAGCTTTGAATCACCATTCATTTCACAACAGAGCACCACCACAATATTCAAAACCAACCAACCAAATGCCCTTGTAGAACATTCATTGTACTTTTAGCATGGAAATCACTACGGTGGTGAGTCTCCAAGTTTGGGTCAACTGAATCAGGCTCACAGGGCTCAAAATAGCAGTGGAGACATTCCCACTTGGGCTGGAGCCAGGGCTCTGAGATCCGGTAACAGGGGAGGATCTCAAACTCACTGTCACAGGCTTTTTTTTTGGGGGGGGGGGGAAGGAAGGAGAGGGGAGGCAGTATAGACTTACCCTTACTGGTTTATATCTACAGTAACACAGATGGCTGTCTCAACAGTGAATAGGATAGTAGCTCTGAATTTGTGTACTTCTCAAAACAAATCTCCTTCATTGCTATGCTAGTTACAAACTGTCACTCTCTATATTCACCTCTTCTAAACTGAGTAAAACAATGCAGCCTGTAAGGGGGGGGGAATCTACTAGTTACTGAATTATTTATATATTTATCTGGCAATTTAAACTTCTCATATATTTTGAGGTGCTCTAATGCACACACTACATTGGTTTCATGTCCACAGTAGGAAATGACCTCATTATCCTTCTGAACAACCACCACATTGTTCTGAAACCATCTCTTTGTTTGCTCATTCCATCATCTTCATTATGATAAATATGTTGCACCCTATTATATGTTGTGCTAAACCTGAATGGAAATCAATGATACTGCATCTTAGTTCTGTCTTTCTGAAAAGCAGTAAAAGCAACCTTTGTGATATATGTGATTAAAACTATTTATAAATAAATTGGACAATAAATGATCTTGAACTTGAACCTAGGGATGTGAGGGAAAAGACAATGATTTGCTTTGCTTTTGTGCATGAAGGGGAGAGACTAAGAAAACACAAGAAATTTCTCAAAACATTTGGATAAGCTTCAGATAAGCACATAGCTATTTCAACCTCTTGCATATTATAAATACAAGTCTTAAAAAGAAATTGAAAGTACAGCAGAGTCAGTTTCAAGGATTGCAGAATGGCTCGCAGTCCTGTGGTCCTAGACAAATAGACGAGGCCTTGAAAAAACATGCCTGGGAACACCATTCCCAGAGTTGAAACCAATACACTTCAAAAGAGGGAAAACAGTAATCGTACATAACAAAAAAACCTGAAAAATCATAACTAATAGGTGTGATAACACAGTCAAGCTGCTTAGCAGCAGTGAGCGCTTTACAAATGGATGAACCACTATTGCTCAGGGTGCATAAAAATCAATGCTTTTTTTAAATAAAAAAAAAACAGATTTTTTTATTTAAATCTGATTTTTTTTTATAAAATGTTTTTTGAGGAAAAAACCTATCTAAAGATAGTTTTAATTAAGATACATTATATCTCATCATTGAATAGGGATTATAAATTCTAATTCTATAGTATGAGTCAATATATTCATGTAATGTTTAAGAAAAGTTTTGTAAATGAGTTCCAATAGTTCATGGATTAGGGACCCAATCTTATGGGGTTTCACAGGCTTCTGTATAGATTATTTGGGTTAATCTTTCTATCTACCCAATGGGACTCAGTGCTCAGTCTAGAAGATACCATTAGAGATGCTTAGTTTTGCAGTTCTCAAACTGTGGATTTGTGTCTCCAGAGGTAACATGCTTGTTAACAGCAAAAATGTTTTTAAATAAATACATAATATATAGAGGTGAGAAATAATAGACCTCAACTCAATTGTCCCTCTGCAAATTTGTGTACACAGAGTCAATCCCTTACCTCTCTCCAAAAGTGCAAAGTTTCAAAAAGTTCAACGAATAGAAGATTGTTGGGGGTGGAATAGATCTGGACAAGGAGAAGAAGTCCAGAGATAAATGTGAGAAACAAGGGCCATATGCTTGTTTTGTTAAAATATTATATGTTTGCTGTTGAAGAAAAAAATCCAGAATAGTTAACGTTGTTCTTTTAGTTAAATAAAAATTTAAATATCTGTCTGGTGATTTTCTCCTCCTAATACAGCATGGCAAGAAAATCCTCCAAATGTTAATGATTAACCCATTGAATTGGAG